AAATCTAGGTCTTAACATATGCAACAGGGAAATGAAATCACTGGTTGGACTGAGAAAAGAAATACTAGGACCCGCCATTATCAGCAACATATGTATTTTCACCCACAATTTAAGACTGCCAGTCGACATTTCTACAGATATATCCAGTTCTGTTCCGTCTGCACCTCATATGCCAGAGAAAAACAAAACCAGAGGATCAGATGATTGCTTACATCTTTGCTCATTTCATGGTTCTTTACAACATTTTCTCTCAGGCCCCTTTCCCACAAGTGAGCCACATGTGACCCGCAGTCCGAAGAACACACAGTTAGTTAGCTGTGAGGGCCTGGCTGGACGCTTCATTGTCTGTCTTCTGATCGCTTCTCCCTTGAGAGGAGGAGGACTAAGAACTGAGATTCCCAGAGCTGTCTGACTGTGGATCAGCAAAGGCACTTATCTGTTTGGAAGGCTGGAGACAGGATGTGATGGCGTCTGTGTGAGTCATCATTATACAGAAACCCAGGAGAGAGACTTGGAATTATGTAGACAGAATTCTCATTGCTTGTGCATTGGAGGCTACTGAACTTCCCATCCCAACAGACCTCTCTGTGCCCACCTCTGAGCACTAGTTTTTGTGTTTTTTTTTTTTTTCAGAGAAAGCTTGTTAGAATATTAAGCCTATTTGTCACTTCATTACTGTGGCACCCATATGACTCTTACTCAAATAAAATAACTTCTAAAATGAAAGACTGCCAGGTATTTTATCATTTAACATCAATGTTTAGTTGATTGTCTTTTATCCAGGCTCTCAGAAATGACCCTCAAGTCATCTGATTTTGGAGTATGTGATGTTCACATTTATAAATATGTGTAGTTCTTTGGAAGCCTTCACCATTAAGAACCAGATAAAGCACTTTAAAAACATTCTGATGTCCACCTCAGTGTAGTTTTTTACTGCTTCCTCTGATCCTCTCCACCCTGCTCCGGCAGATCCATGCTTGCTATGAACAGAATCATTTATTGTTGCTGTGTACCTTTGAGTTGCAGCTGACTCATAGCTGACCCTTCAGCCAATTTTCAGAGCCAGTAATTGACACTGGAGGAGATTGCCCACCTTTGTTCCGTGGAGCATCTGGTGAATTTGAACCAAGTGCTTTTCGGTTGGCAGAGCAATTTCTTACACCACTAAGCCACCAGAGCTTCCTGAATCATCTCTTCAGGTTTGCTGCTTTCATCCTTCTTATTCTGGATTAAGTGAGGCCGATGATGTAGTCCATTACATGCGAGGCTGCCAGAAGGATTCATGGTCAGAGTCTTCTAGCTGCTCTACAGGAGAAAGAGGAAGCTGTCTGCTCCCTAAGGATTAACAACCTTGAAAACCCATTAGAGAGTCACCAGGAGCCAGGATGACTCAGGGGTGATGGGTTTGGTTTTGGTTTTCTCCTTGATTAACAGGAGAAAAGGACAGCAATTCTCATTCACCAGCTGCTATTGTAAATATTTATCCTCAGAAATCCTCTGGGAGCAGGTTTTCCTGTAGGATTTGTATGAGCCTCAGTGGCAATGGAGAGCAAAGATTGTTGTTGCTATTATATGCCATTGAGTTGCTTGTGACTCATAGCAACCCTGTGTACAAGAGCCCCAAACCCTGCTCTATCCTGTGCTAACTTCATTGTCTCCTACACACCTACTCGATCCATGTAATTGAAGGTCTTACTCTCCTGCGCTGTCCCTCCACCCTCCCAAACATGACATCCCTCTTCAAGGACTGGTCCTTCCTTGCAACATGTCCAAAGTATGTCAGACAAAGCTTCAGAATCCTTGCCTCCGAGGAGCAACCTGGCTTCACCCACTCCAGGACAAACCTGTTTGTTCTCCTAGCAGTCCCTGGTATACTCAACTCTCTTCTCCAGCACCACAGCTCAAAAGCACGAATTCTCTTACCATCATCCCCAGTCACTGTCCAGCTCTCTGATGCATAGCATGAAATGGCAAAGATCAGGATCACACAATTGCTCGGATCAGGCACACCTTAGTCTCCAACCTGACATCATTGCTCTTGAGTACTCTGGAGAGGTCCCTGACAGCTGACTTTCCCAATGCAATTCATCTCTTGATTTCCGGGCTACTGGTACCAAGAGTGTTGACTGTGGAGCCAAGCAAATGAAAACTGTTAACTCAATCTCTTCACCATCCATACTGATGCTGCCAATTGGCCCAGTGGTGAGAATCTTTTCTTTTCTTGATGTTGAGCTTCAATCCATAATGAAGGCTGCAGTCCTTGACCTTCTGGAGCAAGCGCTTCAGGTCCTCCTCAGTTTCAGCAAACACGGTTGTGTCATCTGCATAAACGCAGGTTTTGATGACTCTTCCACCAATCCTGATGCCACATTCCTCCTTGTACAGCCCAGCGTCCTGGATGATCTGTTCTGCATGCAAATTGAAAAGGTACGGAAACAGAATACATCCCTGGTGGACACCCTTCCCATTTTTGAACCATGCAATTTCTCCTTGCTCTGTTCTGACGACTGCCTCTTGGTCCAAGTATAGGTTTCACATAAGAACAACCAAGTTTTCTGGGATTCCCATTCTTCTCAGAGTCAGCCACAGCTTGTGATCCACACAGTCAAAAGCCTTTGCATAATCAATGAAGCACAGATAGACATTCATCTGGCACTCTCTGCTTTCTGCCAAGATCCATCTAACATTAACTGTAATATCCCTAGTACCACGACCTCTTCTAAACCCAGCCTGCACATCTGGCAGTTCTCTGTTGACATGTTGCTCCAGTTGTTTTTGGATAATTACAGGCAAGAAAACCCTAATGGTGTAGTTCTACTTTGTGACACCCGAGGTCGCTGTGCTTGGGGCCAGGAGGGGATTAAGGAAGTAAGAGCTCAGGGTTGAGAAGCTTCTGTTAGATTGCACAGCTGCAGACAATTTAGGGAAGCTTTTGGCTATTGAGAGTCAGTGCTCTTTGTCCTTTAGTGATCCTCCTGTCTCGAGGTCAGTGAATCTCAGTGTGATCAGCCTGCCTGCAAATGGATAATGCACATAAGGCTTCTAGGAGAGGTTCAGGCCCATCACGGCCACTCTTCTATGTGTGTACACACATACAGACACATGCCATTCCAAATCTTAGGTAGCCTTTGCTTCCATCAAAACATTCTGAACTTAAATAGACATTGCTTTTCAATGAAGACAAGCAGTCTTTTAATTTGCTTACGAGGTGAGTGAGTACGGGCCAATCAATAATTCCAGCTACAGCCCATGAAATACTGCTCTGAGTTAGACCTTCCTGCGATGCTGAGGAGCACTGTGTATGCAACCCAATTAGTTGACTGTTTCAAACACAGAAGTTATTAATACAAAAGGGCTTGAGGGAGTTATTTATAGAAGAATTTTTGTGAAAAGATAGTAGCAGATATTTCTAAGAAGTATTGTGATTTATTTTATGAATCATTAAGAATTTGTAAATATCCACTTTACTTCCTTTTACCTTCTCAGTGGTGGCCCAGGTTTGACATTAGAGAAAAGTGTGTGCTTTGTGAGGTTACAGGGGCCATTGCTGAATGGGTGGCAGGTGTACAGGTTACTGTCTCCCCCACAAGGAAAAGCTGGAAGGGTCAGCTGGGCAGACTGTCCTCTCAGCAAGACTGAGATTGGCACCTGCTTCCTCTGTCGTTCAGGCATTCTAAGAGAGAAAAGACACAGTGATCTGTTTCATAAAGACTGTTGTAGTCAAGGTGGTTTCAACCACAGCAACTCTGCATCAGGTTCCAAGTCTCTGGTCTTTTACTGACAGCGACTGCCTATCTTTCTCCTGTAGAGCACCAGGGGGGATTTGAACTGCCTACATTTTAGTTCAGTAAGTTAGGCATTATACCACCAGTACTGAAAAGTATTACAGCCAAGAAAATAAGTGCTTTTCAAATTGAAGTAGCTGTGACATTTATTTTTTTTTCTGTTAAAGAATGTACAGCTTGACTAGGCAATTAATGACTTGACTTTCGTAGATTCAGTGACTGTAACAGGATTGCAGGTGTGGAACTCAGGCCTGTGGGCCATGTTACATTTCCTGGATGTGCCACAGGAGATGTGCTCTCCTCACATGGCACTTCCTTTCTTCTAATTCCATCTGATGAAAGAATCTATTAAAGCCTTGGTTGAGGGTTTCCAGAGTCTATTAAAATTAACACCACCATGAAGAGAAGTATAATATAGAGATGCCATGCTTAGGAAACCATTTTCCTCATAAATACCCTAATGTCAATACCTTTGTGAGGTAGTTAAGGCAAGTACTGTTACCTCCTTTTTATGGACTGAAAAGCTCAAACCCCAAGACACTTGTCCAAGGTCAGATGCCAGGTATTTTCTGATTCCTGGAGAAGTGTTGTTTCAGGAGTCTTGAACCCACAGTTAGCCAATGACTCATGCTGTTTGCACTTTTGTTTCTGGACTTTGTTATTGTCTCACTGCTCCCTCCTTTTTTTGAAGGCCTATTTATGACTTAGCTGTATAATTAACACATGTGCATTTTACAAATCACATTCTTAAAAGGCCTCTGTGCTGCATGAGGAAAATAACAATGATGATAGTGACAGTACAAATAACTAATGTATCAGACAAAAAAATGCTTTAATGGTATTCTTCCAGTTATTTAATTCATGCATTCTCCCTTCCTCATCTCAAGAACTTGCTGAATGGAAGCACTGAAAATTTAAACCACTGTGAAAGCCAGATCCGATTGAGATCTGATTGAACATGTTGAAGTACCCTTAAAGAGTAAAGAACAATTAGTGGGCAGAACCATTGAGCTTTTAGGTTGCTATTTTTTTAAACTGTTATAACTTTGTTTATTTAAATCTGACCGCACAATAATGGAGTAATCTATAAATTCAGAAAGAACCCTCTAGAAAGTATTCACATCATGCCATCTCTCGTGAACAATACCCGGTTTTCTAAATTACTGCTTGCCACAAACTATTTTCTGATATGTGTTTATGCTTCTTTTCCTACAGGAGGAAATATAAGAAAACTTCCCAGAGGTAAGAGCGTCTTCCTGAGCCAGGCCTGCATTCTGGGTCATGGAGGTCGAGTCCTTTGTGGCCCAAATCTCACAAGTTTGGCTCCATGGTAGAGATTAATTGAAATAAATGATCTTTTGGTGCCTTCCTAGCGAGTGGCCTGCTTTATCTTCTGGTTGAGATTGCTGCTGTAATTAAATTTGATTGCAACCATTTTGTGTTGCTCTGTTGGTATATATTTTCTCTGGCGAGTGAATCCTGTAGATTAAAAAGCTTGTTACTACTGGGCTGTTAAGTCATTTTACTTTGACCAAAGAAACATTAGGCTTGGTTTGGAGCACATAGAAGTACTACTATTCATACTGTTGAGCTCAGAGTATAGGTACAGATGTAAGAGTGGGTGCTGCTTTAGTCAGTGAGTCAGTTCTGACTCATAGTGATCTTATGTTAAAGAGAAAGAGATCTTACTTCATCCTTTACCCTCCCCTCAATCAGTGGTGTGTTTGAATCAATTGTTGTGGCTTTTGTGTTAATCCATCTCATTGAGAGTTGCCCTCATTTTCCCTGATCCTCTCCTGAACACAGTGTCTCTTAAAGATACTCATTGCCGTTGAACTGGAGCCAACTCATAGCTGATCCTCAAGTGGGTTTTCAGAGACTGTAAGTCACATGGAAGTAGATTGCGCATCTTTCTTCCTCAAGAGCTGTGGGTAGATTCAAACCCGCCACCTTTTGGTTAGTAGTACAATTCCCTACAGACTACATCATAGAGCTTGTTTCCTTTAAAGATGGTGGTGGATTTTTAATTTGCCAGTGGGAAGGGTAATTTAAATTAAAATACAATCGGGTTTTTGTCACCCTTCATGTACCCCCTAGGGAGCTCTGGTGACCTGGTGGGTAAGGAGATATACTGCCAACCCAAAGGCAGCTAGTGGAATCCAACAGCTGCTCCATGGGAGAAAGATGTACAACCTCCTACCTTGGGATTTACAGCCTCTGAAAATCTGCTGGAGGGTCAGCTATGAGTCAGTGCCAACTCCAAGGCAATGAGTTAAGCTGTTGATAGAACTTTATGGATGTATTGCACCTGTAAAGATAAAGCCTCTTTACACAGTGGAATTCTATGCAGCACGCAGGAGCAATGATTTTGTAAATTACTACCTAACTTTGTAGGAGGAGGACCTGGAGAGCATTATGCTGAGTGGACTAACTCAGCCCCATAAGGACAAATACTGTATAAAACCATTATGGTAGAATGAGTATGAGGATCCAAGGAGGAAGGGGCAGAGGGTGGAAGCAGAGAGGTGAGGGTGGGAAAAGGAAGGGAGTAATCATCGAGTTGCACAATTGAATGGGTGGGTGGGGTGAAGGAAATGGGAAAAATCTGGTATGGAAAAACAGTGTATTCGAACTTTGTAAATAAGCTAGTATAAAATAAGAAAATAAGAAACAAGAATAAAAGAAAAGGAAAAAGATAAAGCCTCTGCAGAGTTGTGAAATGTGCTTTGCCTGCCCTTTAATGTAGGCAAAGTAAGTCATTCCCAAAGTAAGAAAGTCACACAGTAAGTCCCGGCCTTGGCCTTCACCTGTGTGCCTCTTAAAGGTGAAAATATATCCTAAGTCTAGTTCTGAAATGAGTTATGGTGTATGAGTGTTTGGCCTTCCACTTCCAATGGAATGCCCATTTTTCATTGTTTATAGGAATTTACCTCCCTAATAAAGTTCTCTTTTCCTGATACTGTTTGCTGATTGGTGGAGTAGTATATATTTAGGCGATGATGTAGGATGAAGGTAGATTCTCCACGTAATACAATAATGAGTATGGGAAATGTCATGATGGGATTTATTCACAGCTTATTTTGTATATTTTTAAAAACACAAATCATTTGTTTTTATAAACGTAATTGAAAAGTCATGGTACATAAAGCCTCATATAACTTCAATTTTTTGCATCATCGTCTTTTGCATCCTTCATTCAACCTTCCTTTCTATTCTGTAACTTCAGCTATACTTTATATTAAAAATATGACTCAAAAGAACTACATGGCATGGATGTGTTTTTAAGAAGTGCTTTGCTAAAATTGCAGTGAATATGTAATTTGTTGTTGTTGCTATTGTTGTGTGATGTAGAGTTGGAACTGACTTATAGCTGACATTCCCGTGGGTTTTCATAGATAGTAAATCATACTATTGGAGGATATTGCCCTTCTTTACTCTGTGAAGCAGCTGGTAGATTTGAACTGTCTGCCTTCAGGATTGCAACACAGCTTTTTACCACTAGTACACCGGAGTGCTCACTTTCTTTCTCTGTATATATCTTTATCTATACAGGCAAACTGAATATATTGCTTTCAAGGGCAGAACACTTATCCCATTTCTTTAGCAGAGTTTGGAAATCACATTAAAAATAAATAGGACTGCTTAAGACCTTCTATTGAAAGAGCTCTGGTGGCCTGGTGGTAAGGAGTTCTGCTGGCAACCAAAAAGTACTCAGTTCAAATCCACCAGTTATTCTTTGGGAGAAAGATGGGCAGTCCTCCCATGCAGTTAACTATCTCTGATAAACTGTTGGAGGGCCAGCTATGGGTCAGTTCAGATTTGATGGTAGACAACAACAACAGACCTCCTGTTGGTGAAAATGAAAAACCTTCAGCTCAATCTAAAAAGGAAGTGTCTCCTTTTTATTGTATTTGACATCCATATTGTAAATTAGAAACACTACATTCTTATAAAAAATTACAAATTCAATTAAAATTTGACAATAGGTTTCAACAATGCCATTTTCTGATAAATACTTCTTTAATGTCATTCCTAGCAAGCATCATCTCAAAGCAGAAACTCCTTTGTCATGTGACTTGCTCACCATGTCAGTAATCCAACATGTTGTTATGTGCTGTCGAGTCAAGTACAACTCATAGCCGCCCTATGAACAGTAGACTTGAACAGTGCCCTCTTCTGCACATTAGAGTTCATTGCCACAGACACTATCAGTCTTGCTCAGGGCCTTCCTCTCATTCCCTGGCCCTCCACTTTCCAAGCATCATGTCCCTTTCAAAGGAAGAGGTGCACAAGCCATTAAGGGGTGAAAAATGAGCTAAAATTGTAAAGCTTTCCTAGAGGTTGATATACTTTCCAAAATTGAGCTTACAGAGAAAAGGCTAAACAGTTCTGTCTGGGCTCGGAGGGCTCCTACTAATAATTTCATGTGAACCAGTGAGCAGGATGTAAATTAATCACTCAGATGAGAGGACATAATAGCTTCCAGCAGCAAAAGGTAATTTATCATTTTCACATGTAGTTAACTTGGGGTGTGAGATTCTTCAGCATTGCCTCAATTTTATTTTAAAGAGAGATAAATAGACGGATGAGAGGGAATTTTACAGGAGAGCTATTCAAATCTGTCAAGTTACAAATTACTTTGCCTATTTTTTAAGGCATTTTTTTGCATATCAGATGTGAATGCTGTTGCATTTTTTATTATGTGGTTGTAACAAAAAGGAGGCAATCTTTGATCAGCTTGTTAAAAAAGTTGTTCAAAGTGCAGATTAATAGAGGATTGACTTGAACTCTTCTATTTTTAATCAGACATGCATTTTCTTGTAAAATTGATCCATGTTCTGACTATCATTGAGTAGCAGACTATCCCCAGGGTACCTGGATAATTCATTGATAGACTGACACGGCCACTATCAGATGTCAATGAGCCAAATCTGATTGACGGGAACCTGTGTGTCAGATCAGACCTGTGCACCACAGAGTTTTGATCTTCTGAAGTCAACCACAAGGCCTTTCAAATTCTGAAGCATTCCCTGGGGAAACTCAAGCTGCTAACCATTTTTTTTTTTAATTTTTTTTTTTTTTTACAGAGGTTTTGGATTTCCATTCATTCATTGCCGCAATTTTCTTCCTTCCCACCCCTCCCCACCAGCTCGCTTCCCCCTCCGAAGAGAGAAAAAAAAAAAAAAAAAAAAAAATACAATTCCACGTCCCTTCCCCCCACCCCCCACCTCGAGTACACTTCTCTATGCAACCTTAATTCTGGATTCCTGTGCTAACCATAATACTCAATCATACATCACTTATAATCATCCGAGTATGACTCACTGGCTTCCAGTGGTAGAGGCTTTAAAGAACATCTTGGTACCCTGAATCAGAAACTAGTCTGTTTTAATATATGTTTACCTTTTGATGTTTCACTTGGACTGGGAGTAACTGTGATTCCTTTTTCAATTTAGCATGGAGCATTTCAGTGAGGAGTTTATTGTTGTGCTCTGCTGAGTTGGAGCCAACTTCTAGCTGATCCTCCAGCAGGTTTGCAGATGCAGTAAATTGCAAAGGAGACTGCTCATCTTTCTTCTGTGAATTCATGCCATGGCCCTTTGGATTGGCAGTGTAGCTCCTTACCACTAGGCCACCAGAGCTTCCTCAATTGGTTAGTTGAATGCTAAGTGTAGTTATTTGGTGCAAGTTAATAATAAGTCAATTTTTATTGATAATTGGTTAATTCAATGTGGTGGCTTCATTCAGGAAAACGAATTATGTAAATAGTGTATAAAATAAATATCTAGTGATTTTGCCTTGTGTTACTCTACCTTTGTTTATATTTTTCTTGCTAAGTTCATTTGTTTCCCTTTATATATTTACCTTTAAAAGCCATATGAAAGGGGGAAAGTCCATTAGCTTTCAAAGAAACCATCTTACACTACAACTTTGAAATGAAGCAGTTCTTTTTCTGTGAATATTTCATAAAGTACTAGACAGATCTTAGCGGCAAGAGTGGCTTTGCTGACGGTGATTCTACCGATCCTTGCTTTTTGTGTTACCAGAAGTGCACTCATCTTTTCCAAGAGCAGAATTTCGACCTAAGCAGTGATGTTATAAGTGCTCTTTAATAGGCTTAGGAAGTGCACTGGTAGGTAGGAGCATAGCTTTGCCCTGCTCTGAAAACTTTATTGGATTGTACTGTGAATCAACATGATTAAGAGGAATCATTCTTTGCCTTGTGAATGAGTCTGACCCAT